GTATTTTTCTGTATATAGGTAGAGACCTTGCGACGGGCTGATCCTCCTTCCAACGAGTCCTACCGACTGTATAGGATTAAGAAACTGAAAAGCGGCCAAGGCCCAACAGAAGGCTCTAGAGTCATAGACAGAGAGATAGATAGGGGTGCAAAAGTATTAAGATACATCTTGGAGGACACCAAGCTGCGGAAGAAAGAAAGTAAGAAGGGAAAATGAAATATATAGAAATAAATAAATACATTAATATAGACACAAAGAAAAGAAGAACAAAAATGAGGCATCTTTGTCTACCTTGGTGTGACCACCCTGACCGTATAGATAAACAGCTTTTTGATATCCCTGGAGAAGTTCTGGTCCTGGTCTTATTGAAGCTTCATTATCAACAGACATGTAAATGAAGATAATAGATTGCTTTGCGGACTTTTATTTGCTTTTCTTTTTTAATGCCACTCGCCCTTTGAAGGTTCATTTGAAGGTTGCGTTTCCATTCAACATGAAGTGACTGTGTGAGAAAATATGAAATTGTCTAAGGCTTGTACCAGCTGCGTGTTGCGTCAGTCTCTCCGTAAATGTTTTGTGTGTGTTTGCATAAGCACTAGCTCTATCATCCGGGAAATCCTATTGTACTCTTTTCAAGTTTTTACATTTACCCGTTTACACGAGGTAAACGGATCAGCCTAACATGATTCCTGTATTCCTATTTCTTACTGAGTGCTGATCACAGTGGCCGCGCGGCCTAAGGAATGAACCGTCTTCCCCCGCTTGAACACTGGGATCGTGGCTTCGAATCCCAGTCTACGCATGGATGTCTGTGTGCGTTTATTCTGTGTTTGTGTTGTTCTATATATAGGTAGCAACCTTGCGATGGGCTGATCCCCGTCCAAGGAGTCCTGCCAAATATGCATAGGATTAACAAACTGAAGAAGTGGCGAAGATCCAAAGGGCTGTAGAACCACAGAAAAAGAGGGACAGAGACGCCAGCTTCTCTTTGAAAGATAATGATTTGAATGCTTATTTGTCAACGCTGGATCTTGTTGCTCTGCAGAACAGAAGCGACATTTACCAAATATAATGCCTAGACTGTCCACTGGAATATATTGGACAAACAGGAAGAACGCTTAATACTCGTATTATATACTGTGACATGACGCCTAAAAGCAGGAATAGCGAAGCCAGAGTATACGTTCATTGCTAGGCAACCACTCGCGAAACAAGTTCCCGCAGATATGAACACACACGCAACAGTAGAAGAACTGTTGTTTCTATGCAACGGCAAGATAACCACGCCTCTATAACAATAGGGTTGTTAGGAAACGGAACTTTCAGTTGGGGCCGTCCCGAGGCTATATAACGAGGATCTCGGGCAGTTGTTTTCTTTGGCCAACAAAGTCGTTCCTGGCTTCAGTCTCCTCGAGATCAGTGACCAAGATTTCTGTTCTCTCCTATGACATATACGTGTTTCGAAATGGGGCCTGCTGTTCGACGAAGGATGGGTCGGTCTTTCTTTGTTGCACCGTAGTTTCAGGACGAGTATATCCGCACTGTCACGACGTCCTGGTCACTATGGACTCTGTGCATCCTTTGTCAGTGCAGTATACTAAGTAACATTTGCACACAGTATACAGAGGTTTGCTGTCAATGCAGGGTTGTGCAACAGGTTATGGCTTAGCTTATGTAACTTCTCTGAAACTGCAGTTAGGTGGACGTTCCTAGGTCTGACCGCCGCCAAGTTTAAGCCTGTTATACTTCCTGTGCCTGGCTTCTCCTTGTGCAATATCTCGTACATTTGTGTTTATATGGGATTATTTCCGGTGGTCCTGCGTAATTTAATTATATAGTCCTATACATAAGGAATTTTGAAACCCACTTGCAATTCGCGGACTGGTGTGCACCTGTCAGGATTTCCAATAGTGCGGAGTACTACGTGTATGTTCCTCAGGCTCTGAAATTCAAAGTCACATTGCGACTGACGGTCGGTCAGTCAGTCAGTCAGTCAGTCTTGGTGTCGAGTCCCATCTGGGGCCCATGACCAGATATTTATTACTGTGTTAAAATTACGGTCTTGTTTTTTATGGGGCGCCCTCTCTGACGAGAGGATGTCTGTCAATTGTACATGCTTCTGGTCTTTGCCAGCGCAGTTGAGTACAGTGGAGTGATCGTCAGTTGGTTGGCGAGTAATCAGAGGACTGCTGCGTTAGCTATTGCTGTCAGAGGACGTTAACTGAGGCTCAGGGATATTACGGGAACCCAGAGTAATGGGAACATCCGCTGTTGGAAGCCGTTACCAGACGACAACTGACTAAGGCACAGCAAGCTAAGAAGACTTAATAGGTGATGTAGTGAATTGTAGTGTGTGTGAATTAGCGATAACACTATAGTTACGTGTAGTTACAGTCTATAAATATTCAATATATCTAATTAGCAATCCAAACCCCGTTTATAATCACTCGTACAAGTGACTATATTTTATATTTACTGTTATACGAGGGTTGAAACTTTAATAGTGGCAAGACTGCTGTAGAGACACCATGCAACGGAACCAAATAATTTCGCTTATACCACACGTTAGTTACATACCTACCTTACCTCAGAGCAAATGGACTCTCCCTTCCCACATCACTCGCATGCACTGACGAGAGAAGAACAGAGCCTCGTGTTAGCTGGCGGTCTAATGTAATGTTGTCGCGATGTTTTCGAAACAGGAACAATGGAGCTGGATAAAGACTGAATGTGCCAGATGTCGCACAGCACGACAGTGTCATCAAGGTCTTCAAGAGGCTTGCGGGGAATCTGCATTGCCTTGCAGAACAGTGGCAAGTTGGGTAAAAGCCTTCAACGAGGGATGCCATCTTAGATAAAAGAAATTCGTCACCAAATATGCATTCTTTTTATAAATTTTGCAGCGTCGCCAGATTTATTCTTTCTTTAATTTTTTGTGTTCAATTTCGTTCAATTGTCTTTTACATCGCTCCATTTTGAGTCTACTTTTGTTATTTAAAAAGAAAAAAGTAAATCTTACGAGACCATCTTGATACCCGTGTCTCTGTATGCTTATCCCTCCTATATTCACTAGACAACGGCTCGGTAAACACGTTCCCGCGGCAGCGAATACCCGCGCAGCAATGACAGAATTTTTGAAACCGTCCTTCCCGTGTAATGTCAAAGGAAAATAGGCTATTGCTTCTTTCCACGTCTTTCTGTTCTCATGTGGATTTTCCTACGCAAAGTAGATAAAATAGAACGCCAATTATCCGAATCACTGTAACCAAGGAATATGTCAGCTAAACAAACATCATTGTTGTACATTTTTAAATAAAATGTTTGAAAATGTTAGTTATAACTGCATTTAATAATTTTTCACGTTTCACCTGCTTTAAAAGTCTTTTAATTTTTGGTTATAATTGTGCGGTGCATTATACGAGAAATACTGTCACAATAGTGTTCTTTTCTTGTGGAAAAGAATTTAATCCAGTTGTCGGAATTTTCGATTATCCGAGCCACTCTTTTAACTAATTCATTCATTCATCAATGGCTCTACAACAATTGTTGCGCCCTGGCCGTTTTTTCAATTTCGTAATCCGATGCAAGTCGGTAGGACTCCTTGAACGGGAGATCAGCCCGTTGCAAGGCCCCTACCTGCACACAGAAGAATACAAACACAGAATGAACGTACACAGACATCCATGCCTTGAGTGGGATTCGAATCCAGGATTCCAGTGTTCGAGCGAGAGAAGACAGTTCATGCCTTAGATCGCGCGGCCACTGTTATCGGAGTTCTATTGTAATAGCAATTTATAATTTCCCTTAATTTATGTTCATTTCTATTGCAGATGTATAGCAAGTGGGTGCACATCTGCACATCTACATTACAGCTACAGACTGAGCACGTCGGCGGTGTGCGTGACGCTAAGACGGCAGGGATACGAAGGTAATAATAGCAAAATAATTGTCTGAATTTATTTTATCTATAAAGACTGTTTATCAATTGTCCTGCTGTCAGTAGCTGGTTCCAATTATTATCTCAGTTTTGTGGATATTGGAGCTCATGGATAAGATTGCAATTTAAATTTCAATCTCACACTAATTTGCATCCATGTAATGAAAATGACGCGGTGGGTTCTGTATCTCAAATGATAAGAAACACCAGAACAGGGACAGTATATCGGCTGGAGGTCTGCCACGCCGCAAAGAGGCGGTATATATCGAGCTCTACTGATGCAACTGAACATTTAGTGATGTTTATACACGCGTCAACTCAAACAGCTTGCATGTGTCTCCGCTGGAAATTAATTCTTTCTTCAGTTTCTCTATCGGCTGTGTTCATTTCGTACACCTTATACAAAGTAAAATGTACAATTACGAAGCTCCTCATTGTATACCTTCGTTTAATCTTATTATTTTCCCTCTAATGTCGAAATATTCTCCCTACCACCTGTTTGCAAAATACACGCAATCAGAGTTCCGGTAGGTGGCTGCTTTAGGGGCAAAGCTGACGGACCAGCAACGTGGCGATCACATATTCATATTTTGCAAACTTTCTTTTCCCGGGGAGCCGGGATAGCTCAGTCGGTATAGCGACTGGCTACAGGCTGGACGACTGAGGCGTCGGAGTTCGAGTCCCTGTAGGGTAACAAATTTTCTTCACTTCGTCCAGGCCGGCTCCGGGATCCCCCAACATCCTGTCCAGTGCGTTTTTCCCCGGGGATAAAGCGACAGGTGCGTGAAGGTGACCACTCACCTCCAGCTAGTGCCGAGGTCATGTATCTATACATCCACTCCCCCATACGTCTTCATGGCGTAATGCTTAATTCGTTAGACAGAGGGATAACTTAACGTTCACACCCCTCCTCCCTAAAGTAAATTCCTGATTCGTTAGTTTCAAAATTTCTGTGTCCTGAGACGGAACAGATAGGTAAGGTAGGAGAAGGATTAAGTTAATATAGAAGTCTGTTCATAAGGGAAGGGAAAGAAGACAAGAAGGTAGCGTTGAAAAACTCGCGTCAGGTGTTCTACATCTATTTTTATGTGCACACAGTATGAAGTCTACAGCTGCAGGGAGCAGTGATATATTTTGTTACTGTGTCAGTCCGAATGAAAGCGCCAGTAAAATAAAGTTAAATCATAAAGACAAAAATTCTGTGAAGAAATTTCAATAAGAGCTTATAAAATTAAAATAAATTACATTCAACGGTGCATAATTATGTTTTTTCTTCTTTCTCTTAGCTTATATTGCAGTATTTTCAGTTAATGGCATGCAGAATTTATCTTGAAATATTGGAAGTTTACAAATGAATTCTCTTAGTTAAGTAGTTATGCTAGAAGTGTTATATTTAGACTTACTTACATTCAGTAATATGAAGGGCAGTATATTCTCTCGATTGAAGTAAACTGTGATATTTTACATATATGCAACATTTCGTAAAACATTAACGAGAACCCATACACAATCAAATATCCTTCTTCGGCCACTTCTCTTTTAATGTTACACTCGGGTCACTTTCGTGTTCCTACAGCAAAGTTGCACTAAGGTTCAAGTTCATGCGATAGAGCATCCTACAGTAGTTGGGTGTACCGTGTAGTATGTAGCAGACATGGAAGTGAATGTTCCAAACCTTCGGGTGTAATGTACGTTTTTACATGATTGTCGCTTCAGCCGGTCCTCATGTATTTATTTAAATTTCAGACATATCAGTGCAAGTAGCTGCAGGCTAGAGCCGTGCAAGTTTATACATGAATGATAACTCAAGAGTACTGATTCAACTGTTTGAATTTCTTAAGTATTTTCGGCAATAGGCGAAGGTGTTCGATAAAGGTCACCGTCAGAATTCTACCACAAATCACTACCATCTTAAGATTATTGGACTGATCCTGACGGAGAGACAGAAAAGCTGAAACAGGTGGAATGTAATTACATAAAAGTGAAATGGACCATCTACCATGACGGGAAGAGATATGTTTGAGATAACTGCTACAGACAGGTCTTCAAAATATATTTTCTCGAATTCCCTGATTACGGAAACGTCCAAAGTCATGATAGGCCTTCTTCACACACTCATACAGTTCATGGAGAATTTTTGTTTAAATTATGACGTAATCTTAGCAGGAACGTTGAAGCACAGCAAGTCCCTGTTTCCAGGAGCTGTTAGAGCCCAGTGGACCACGACTTTCAACTGCAAAGAGACCAGTAATACAAGAATTAGTATGAATAATAGCAATGGCGCTTCGTAGAAAACAGTTCAAATAATTATTTCTAATATCGCACTTAAGTCCAGGTACGCATGGAGTCACCAACATTTGTTGCGGCCTACAAATTGTTATTGAATTGAATTACTTAGCACCACAACCGTGCCGGCATTTATATTCCAAATTCATACTTTCTTTTCCATGGAATGCAGTTTCAGTGTTAGGTGGGTCCCTTGTCACCATGGCATGGCGCGTCCTCAGGTTGTGGACGGAGGAGACGGCCTCCAGATATGGAGGCTAAAGGTAAACTTATCCCTGTGCTTAACCAATTAAGCACTACAACATGAAGGCGTATGAGGTAGTGGGTGACCTCGGCACTAGCTGGAGGTGAGTGGTCAGTTTCACTCCCCGGCCGCGTTACCTCCGGGGAAAGAGCCCCCGGTACCCATTGGAGGTTTGGTGGATCTTAGAGCCGGTCTGGACGACGTGGAGAAGGGAAAATTCTTGACCCTACTGGGAATCTCATTCCGACTTCTTGGTCAGCCAGCCCGTAGCGAGTCGCTATACCAACTGCGCTATTCCGGCTCACCAGACATGGAGTGTAGCTGCGAATACATTGAATAAGCAATCGCTAACAGCTGACAAGGGGTGGCCCTCCTAACAACTGTTCACCGTAAAAAGTAAGATTCTTACGAAATGTGACAAAAGGCCTCGGAACTGGACGGAACTCACCGGAGCTAGAGATCTGGCTCCAGATAGGAACCAGTGGAGGGTTCTTGTGCACGCGGCAATGAAACTTTGGCTTTGATAAAATGCCGAGTTCTTGAGTAGCCACATAACTGGAGTCTTCTCAAGAAGGGCTCAGCTCTATGGAGCTAGTTAATTATAAGTAGCACATCTGTTCGCTTATATATAAATGTACAAATGTGTTGAGTAAAACCACACTTCTTACCGGATGTAATTAATGTTTCGCGTTTGACCATTTGGCAATATCACTACTTCCTTACATAAGATAATATTACGTAACTCAGCATCTTAATTCGGTCTGCGCTAACTTCTTTACTCTTGTTTGTATAAAGTGTCGGATCAGAGACGTGAACCCTAGGAACTTCGAAAACCGAGTATGTGAAAATGCGCTGCTTTGTCAGGGCTACTGTACACGCCAAGAGGCGGTCATAAATGAGTACGGAGCAATGGTGGTGGAATTATAAAATGATCGTAGTAGCAGCAGCAGCAGTAGTAGTAAAATTCTGTTCACTGGCTGTACAACCCCTTTGGGCCCTGGGCACTGATTTTTAGTTTCATAATAATTTTACAGACAGTAGGACTCCTTAATCGAGTGATCAGCCCATCGCAAGGCCCCTACCCAAACAGAGGACAACACAAACAAAGAATAAACACATACACACACCAAATATCCATGCCTTGTGTGGGATTCGAACCCATGATCCCGGATTCCGAGCAAACGAAGACACAATTCATGCCTTAGACAGCTCGGCTACCGTGATTGGCATAATAATAATAATAATAATAATAATAATAATAATAATAATAATAATAATAATAATAATAATTTAATCTCCCCGTCTCGATGTACGGAGGCAAGGGGGAGGTGGAAGCGCCTGTAAACGGAAACTGTAATTTTACGATCAAAATAACGACAACGCACAAAATTCAAACTGACTTATTTTTCAAAGTGAGAAACCAACGAGTTTCTATCATTCAGGAAATCTGATCTGCGTGCCATTCGAAGTGTCTTCCCTGACCTGCGCATTTGTGCCGTACGTTGCCGTGTCATGCATGCGCTATCAAACAAACAAAATCTAAGAATGAGTGATTTTCATGCAATTACAGCCATATTATATATATGGCATGAAATGTTGCTTCAGGCTGAGAATACTTTTCGCATTGCTTATAACATTTTTCATTTCTTTTTACAATTATGATGCACTGAAAATATGAGCCAACTTTTTTTTCATTTTCATGCCCCATTTATAAATAATTTTCTTGTCCAGTAATAGCGCACGTAAGCAATACTCATGCCATTATCACAGCCTTCAATATGTGCTCGTTCTTGAGCTAGACCTCTAGTTTGCTGGACTGGTTTACAATGTCAGGGAAGTCCCGACTGATGTAGGTCCGGCTACGCACTAGCTGTACTGGGTTCACCGTTTGTTGATCTGTCGCTATATACTCGTACATGGTTACATAAACTGGAGAACATTACATAACGAGGAGCACTGGAAGTTGTACTCTTTGCATAATACTCTGCTAATATAATCAAGGAGAATGAAATGCTTGAAGAAATAATTCGTACGTGGGAACGGTGAAATTCATAAGAGATTTCGGAAAACACGAATGGAAAAGCGGCAACTTGAGATTTTGTAATATTAATCTTAAACAGGGCTGAGGGTCGGGACTGAATCAGGCTCAGAATAGGGTTCAGAGGTGGATGTTTTGTGAACTGGGGCAGTGGTCACAGGTTTCATAAGCTGAGGTAAAGCTATCCCTATAAGACGCCTTGAGGCCCATAGGGTTGTGAGACGTCGAGGCTCCCACAGTTTTATAAATAATCGGCTCACAGATGGCGGTGAGGTTTTCAGCCTTACGCGAAGTCTGCCCTTTACCCCCAGGAAGATTCCTGGTATTCATTTCTGTTAGTAGCTGAGTCGACCCCAGGGCCATAGTCCGGCTGGAAGGATTAAGTAAATTGGAGAATTCAGTGACCACACTGGGAGTGGAATCCGCGACCTGGCGGCTTGTAGCGTAATGCCTCAATCTACTACTCTACCGCCTGCACCTGGTTAAAAAAAATGGATAATTTCTCAACTGGAATGGCGGATATCAGGAGATATCTTCTTTATAGAACTTCGTAATGTATTCAGCTAAACATTAATTACGCAAACGAGGAAAGGGTTTCCGGTAAATACCACTGTGAAGCCACGTGCGCTGCCTCTCGTCTTGCGTAACCTCACATTTTAGACAGAGTTAACTGACGTGCGTGGACACTCACCTTCGGGTAGATTTCGAGGACCTTTAAAGTATTCTTGTACAGGTATTCCTGGCCGGCCTTAAGAGGACACCCAGCTTTGCTGCCGTCGGGGAAATAGACCTGAGAGCAGGCGTTGGATCCGTCCACGCCGATGAACGGGAATGGAACGCCCGCAATCTTGGCGTTCACTTTGTTCTTTATAGAAGGCGCATCTTGATCTGAAACAATATGAATGAGTAAATAAAGGTGGACCTTCACCGGTCCTTTTTACTGTTACTGTCAGTGATATGCCATGCATCCCCCTCTGTATCGAGGTTATATGTGAACTGAAGAACACGATCATAATGTGCAGGTGTGTGACGGACCGGAACACCTCAGTAACCTTATCTTCAGTTGGGAATTTACATTTAAAATGGCGTTTGGCTGGGCCATAAGTGAAAATTTACCAATTCGTTAACAAATCGACGCATTAGCTGATTTTAAATTAAAACAGGGTATCTGTTGGTATGTGACAGAGGAGTAACAGGTTAACAGTAAATGTTTCCCTGGGCTTAATCAAGCACAACACTATCAAGGCGTATGGTCTATTAGAGGTAGAGCTCCACCATTCTTAATCTGGGTACTAGATGGAGGTGACTGATGACCTTCGCGTTCCTGTCGATCTGCACCAGAGGAAACAGCCGCCCGCTATTCACTGTATTAGAAGCAGAGGCCCCAGAGTTTGTGTGGGCCTTGTGGAGGAGGGAAAATATTGTGATATGTAGACCCATTGCTAGGGAACTGGTCGGCGAACACGTTTTCGTGGAGATAGATTCTTGGAAACAAACCCGTCGCTATGTGATAAGCAGAGGTGTCCTTGGATACGAAGTGAAAAGCGTTTTCTGTCGATCCGTCCCGACGTTATATAACGGGAAACCCGTGTGGAGGCGGGGGTCGAATACCTCCACTGTGACCCTGCGAGTCGTAGGAGGCGACGAAAAGGGAAGTCTCAAATCTGAGACAGTAAAATATGGTCGCGAGTCCCAAGGGACTCGGACCCGAGAAAGACCGCGCTGGAAAGGGCCAGCAGCATATGTGAAAGACATACCCGTCCTCTCGTCAGAGAGGGCGCCCCACAAAAATAAGACCGTAACTGTCAAATGGTAATAATTAATATCTGGTCATGAGCCCCAGATGGGCTTGACACCAAGACTTTCTGTCTGACTGGCCGTCAGTCGCAATGTGACTTTGACTTTGACTTTACTTGACTGATTGGCGGTAAACCGCCAGTCGTAAAGTAACTCTGACTCTAACTCTGACTCTGACTCTCTGAGTATCCAGTGTGGAGGCAGGGTCGAAAACCTCCACCGTAGCCCCGCGACTCGTGGGAGGCGACGAAAAGGGAACCCAGGGCCTGGGGGTATAACCGGGCCACCCTGTTCCGGGGTGATATAAATACGGGGATCTGGCCCTCCAGTTTGGGAGAGTCTCGAATCTGAGATAGTAAAATGTGATCATGATTCCCGCGAAACTCTGACCTGAGCATGACTGCGCTGGCGAGGCTTAGTAGCAATTTCAAAAGACAGACTCATCCTCTCACCATGAGAGACGCTCCTCCGGCGAGATACCATCCCGGGACCGTCTAGTTGTAATTCAGCTATTGCCATCCTTAGGCTTAGGGTGTCACTATTGTCCCTAACGTCGCCTGTTTGCTCCTAGTGTCATAAACCCATGAACTGACATTGTGCGAGACCGGCCAGGAGGGTCTTGGGTTCCCTGCTCGTGTGCCTTGAAGACCTAAAAATGTTTAAGCGCATCTCGAAAAATACGAATGTAGGATAGATGCCGGGCTCGACCCTTGGCTTTCTGTTGTATTTTCTTGTTTTGTTTTATGCCTACTGGGGGACTTGTAAAGAGAGGGCAGTTGTTTACAGGGAGCGGAGGTGGACAGTTAAAAAGGGAGTTAGTTACAAGCGGGTAGCTAGCGAGTGGTGTGTATGGTCAGCGAGCTGGGGGCAAATTGGTGCACAAAGGTTAAGTGTTACGGAGCGGCTAGCTTGGTGGAATAATATAAAGATTGCAATACACGGTGTGTTTTGGAGACCCCGGATTCATGAACCCCGAAGTGTGTTCCACTTCCATATCCGAAGGACACGTATCCTGAGATAAAGAAATCATCTCGAGCAATAGTCGGCGGGCGGCTACATATGTAATAGTTACATAGCAAAAGATTCACAAAAAATAGTACCAACTAGCCCCGGTCTCCCCCAATGATCCGAAGTCGTTATACCCAGTTTTCCCGAAAAGATATATTCTTATATGAAATCCGAAAAATTGAGCATTTTTACCAAAATTTTGTACACATTTCTTGTTCAGCCATGTGTAGCGTATTTGGTTGCATGTTTCTTCGCAGGAGCATTCTAACAAAGTCTGCATGCACAGAAGCCTCTAATGACAATCACGTGGTGCGTGAAATGATGATGAGGGGCCGGCCTTCATCTCCTCCTTCGAGCTGCCCCTTGCTCTTTGTACGTTCGTAGCAAAGTTACGTCTACCGCAGACAAGCTATGCTCTGTCTAAACCATCATTCAACCCAATCCTTCTTCCTTGGTTTGCCTAGGACTAGCTCCATTTTGACTGGCCTTTCTCTCTCGTGAACTGAACTACTGGAGCTAGACTCATTCACTCTTATATATCATCGGTGCTCACATTGTCTAGCAATGGACGTCTACTGTTGTCACGTATTGTTGTAAGCTTTACCTAGCAACGGGCCGTTTACAAAGAATCGGTCTTCGCTGGAAGGTGTTTACCGAACCGTTGCTTGTCAGTGGGTCTGTACGTTGCAATATTTTATTTTAAAGGATTGGTGAATTTGTGAAGGTTGGTATTAAATCGCGCGATCTTTAAGACGGCGGTCGATAGGAGGCCGTACTGGAAACCTCGTTGCACAACCTAGTCTTTTCTTCCGTAATCTTCCGCAGTCAATGCATGGCACGCACTCCAAGATGTGTTAGACAGTGCATAGCGTATCCTTCAGTTCTACTGGCTACTGCCCACTTACCAGGCGTGAATTTAAATTCCAGAACAATGTCTGTCTTCCTCTTCAATTTGCAAGGAGTTCTAACGCAGTCGCCGATTTTGTAGTTGTCGGAAAGTTCATGGGGACCACCTGAAACAAAAATAGGCAGGAATTACGTTTTACCATGTGCATAAATTTAAATATATAATTTCGTACTGTTAACAAGAGCAGTACGAACAGACGCCATTTTAAATGTTTGAACCTTTAGCGCTGTATGAAAAAAATTTCCTGATTCCAATTCGATAAACGGGGCATAAGGTAAGGTAAAGCTAACCTTGTAACAGGCCGTGGGGCCCATGGGATTGTGAGATCTCGAGGTTCCCACATCTTCTAGACAGTCGGCTCACAGATGGCGGTGAAATCGACCTTACACGCCGACTACCTTTTACCCCCCCCCAGGAAGAATTCTGGTACTCATTTCTGTTAAGAGGCTGAGCCGACCCCAGTGCCATAGTGCGACTGGAAGGTTTAGATCAACTGAAAAATCTAGTGGCCTCATCGAGAATCGAACCCGCAACCCTCCGGCTTGTAGCACAGTGCCTCAAACACCTACACTACAGCGTGCCCTAACAAGGGACATATTTTTACTATTTTTTAATTTGCGATTTATTTGAAGCTGCGGTCAGTAACTACATAACTACGAATGGTAGAATAATCAACGAATGGGAAAGGATATGGAAGAAAGCGGCCGTGGCCAATTTCAAGGCAGTATATCGACATTCTCCTGGAGGGACTGGGTATAACCATGAAAATAATCAGGACAGTTGATATACTGGCCGACAGTCGAATCGTGCATCTCCTACATTGAAGCAGAAATAGTACCACTTGAGCTGACTGTGCTTAACTAATTAAGCACTACGCCATGAAGACGCATTGGGGAGTGGATGTGTTGATCCACGTATCCTCGACCTCGGCACATATTGTAGCTTCACGCCCCAGTAATGTTATCCTCGGGGAAAGAGGCCCCGGTACCCACTGGATAGGAGGCTGAATGTGGCCCAGAACCAGTCTTGACAATGTAGAGAGGGGAAAAATTTTGGCCCTATCGGGGCTCGAAATCCGACCCCTCCAGCGTCCAGTCCGTAGCCAGACGCTATACCGACTGCGCTATCCCGGCTCCCAACCCTAGTGGGTGCGTTGCGTAAATCTCAAATTTTTTAATGTTATTTTCTATTTTCGTCTTAGATTCCAATAGTTTTCTAGGCACGTTGGGTCTAAGTAATTGTAATTTAGGCAAATGATCTAGAGATGCTTTGGAATACGAGATCACGTTTATTATCTGTGTGAACTACATTCCCAGACAACCTCAGTCCTTCTCATGACATGTGCTAGACTGCCTACTCACCGACACCTTTTAAGGTTCAAATATTACTCGAAGCAACTGTTCTCGAACATATTGTGGCATATTTGCTCAAGGCAAGAACTGTGGAGCCAGAGAAACAGACGTTGCTAGCGAACGGCTCTGAAGCAGCCTTCGTTTCATGGCAACGGTCCCGAAACAGACAAAGGAACAACGTCCGTTGCTAGACAGCAGATTCTTAGTAAGCGAGAATATATAGCTGTTGATAAGGAACGGAGTGTCTTGGAGAATAACCGGGCCACTTTATTCCTGGGGATATAAATACGAGGACCTGGCCCTCCAAGTTGAGTGCAGTCTCGATTCTGAGACAGTCAGATGTGGTCGCGAGTCCCGCGGGTCTGGGACCTGAGAATGACTGAGCTGGCGAAACCCAGCAGTAGTTGTAAACGACAGACCGTCCTCTCGTCGGAGAGGATGTTACGTAAGTACTTTGAACACAGGTGTTCACTTGATAAAAAATTCTGGTCGTGGGTCTCAAGGGGCTTGTCGCCAAGACGAACTGATTGACGGTAAACCGGAAGTCATACAGTAACTCTGACTCTGATATCCGCTGTCATTATCAGATCAGACTATATTACTCCAAATTAGCCGCGCCATAGCTCAAGCGGTTAGTCGCTGGCTTCCCACTGCGGCGGCCCGAGTTCGATCCCGGGTCTGGTCAAGTGGGATTTGTGGTGGACAAAGTGGCGCTGGGGCAGGTTTTCTCCGAGTACTTCGGTTTCCCCTGCCAATCTTCATTCCACCAATTGCTCCACAATCACCCTCACCTATGATCTGGGGCTGGTACAATAGACCAAAAGTGGCCGCAGTACAAGGGACTTAGTCCCACTCTACTAGCAATAAAAAAATATTACTCGAAACCTTTTGTTTTGCATTTCGTGGGATGGGTTGAGACTTGGCACGTCGGCCACCAATTGGCGTATTGTACCAGCTCCGGATGATAGACGAATATGGAGTATTTGGTGGAATGAAAATTGGCATGGGAAATCCCGAAGTACTCGAGAAGAGATCGAACCCGGGCCGCCGCGATGATAGCCGGCAACTAATCGCCTGATATCCCAGACATTTGTCTTATACCATATGTATATTTTCCGCGCATGCGCCACTCAACGAGATCGAGTGTGTTTGAAAACTGGTTGGTATGAAGTAAGCGAGGGTGGGCAAAACTTCATAATTTGTGATCTTTACGAAATATTATTTGGATGCTTAAAGAAAGGAGTCAAGCCTAGTCCGAGAAACGAGCTCGAAACGTCCGAGTACGAAGCAGGAATGTTAGCCGCTCAGTGGTGACGTCCTGTCTGTAGCACATATGTTGTCGGAACCACTTAGCGTACTTCTTGCATTCCTGGCGTAGGTGGCCTGCGTGAAGCCCGGTAGATAAGTGGCTTCTGCTGTAGCAGAATACCAAACAGTGAATGTGGGTCCAACAGTCAATTAGTCTGGAAGTCTGGACACCCCACTTAGCAAAGAGACAGTGCGAGCCATGATGAATCAGCCGTTAAAGTGCCGGACTTCGTGCCGAAGGAGCTGTGTTCGCACTTCTGGAGAGAATTTGCAAATACAGCCATTTACATGTAGGTATGTCGAGTAAGCAAGTGAGTTCACGTGCTCTGTTAGTGTTTAGAGTCCACAATCTACGCTGACTTCTGGAACGACTTCTATTCTGTCTGTATCCTCTGATAAGCTGCAGGCTCTTAAAGACAAGACTCAAAGCTGACCCTTCAAAACTTTTGGTACATTTACTTATTTGCGATTTATTTAAGAGCCGAGACTGGAAGGCCGGGGTAAGATCCCCGGCATGGGCTAGGGATTTGTCGCCACTCGACACCGTCCAGATAGGTTCTGAGGCCCACCAAGCTTTCTATTAAACGGGTACTGGGGTGCTTCTTCACCGGAGGTAAAGCGGCCGGGTCGTGAAGCTGATCACTCACCTCTATCTAGTGCCGAGGTCAAGAATGGTGGAGCTATACCTCCACCCCCTATATGTTTTCATGTATAATGTTTAATTATGTAGATGACTTTACCTTGACCTTCATGGTCAACAATCTAGAAATGTTAATAGTGTCGGATGGTAGGATGTTTCATGAAACAGAAGGATATAATGGGAAGAAATCTCAGCTGAAACTGAAGCACATCCTACATCATTCGNACATCATTCGTGGGGGGGGGGGAATTAGGAAAGTCGTGAAACATCACATTCAGGATAATCGATATAACCTTGAGTCTGGAGCAGACAATTCTCACAACCATTCTTATTCATGACTAAGTCAGACAGTAGTTTTGGAGCTCTACAGTAATTATTATTTATGTACATGTGAGCTTCAGAATCAATGCCGCTGTCAGATCATATCCTCGAGAACGTTTTCTAAGCAACGATACGATCTAATAAGAGTTTTTCTACGACAGAGAGTCAGTAAATAGACACAAACGGATATAAAACATAAACCATGTGATATTCGAACCTCGAAAAAACCTTCAGCGAAATGTTTGCCTCGCAGTTTTCAAACGTTAGACGCTAAAAACAGTTCCCGCCGTAGACAGGAAATATTTCTCTATGAATATTTGTTTGAATTGCATCATTTTCCCCATAAACATGCACAACAGAACGTTCTTCGGTAGTACACTGAAGCACTGTCGCCATTTTGACTACTGAAACTAGACTTTGATAATGCTCATGCGCATCTGCTACCTAAACTGTCATGAAGCTGCTGTGCTGCTACCTAGTGATACGGATAGAAACAAACTATTACATCCATTACAGCTGTATTTCTTCCATTTGTGACCTATTTACTGACTCTCCCTCGTAATTTATGCAGTTTAAGAAGCGTTGTTAAGCTTTCCAGCCCAAGAAATGGCTGGTTTATGTCTTTGTGCCCGTGTGTGTTGTGTGTGCCCAATAAAATTATTCGAACCAATTAAATGGTTCTCAATGAAGCCCGGTAAGTAGCATGCCCCTGGAATATATCCCCCCCCCCATTTTGACGTGACTGTTTTCATAACGAGCACATGACGTCCTTCGTCCCAGATTCTGAGAGTGAATCTACAGTAGCGGGACATGTGAAGTGTTGTGCGGTAACCACTTGAAACAAGTTAGGAATTGTATGCGCGGCGTAACAATTCTGATGTATTGGCTCTGTTATTGCCTTTCGATTTTTAAATAACTTTTGATGCCATCTTACACGTAGCACAAACGGGGCGTGGCGGACAACGGCAGGATAACTACTACTACTTGAGCCCGGGCCGTCCAGCCTGGAGCCCATCTCTAAACCGACTGAGCTATCCCGGTTCCTAGTTTTGAGATAACACAGAATAAAGGTCTCTCACGCCTAATTATTTCTAAAATCATACAGCTTACATTAGAAAATTGTAATAAACATATGCTTCATTAGTCTACTTACATTATTTTGAAAAAAAAAAGTAGGCTTATGCGATCGCCATGCTGTCTGTGTGTTTGTATATCTCCCACCAACCAACAACAGTCTTTGACTGCCTGAACTAATCTTTGTGGAACTTAGTACGTACTATATCATGGCTTGTGAGCCCATCTCAAAGGCGTACTTCATAAATCCCTCCCATCATTTTGTTTCTATGTGTGTATCCTCATTATCGTTGCTAGGCAATGGCTTGGTAGACACGTTTCCGTGGAAAGAAATACAAGCAACAGGAAGAGAATTGTTTTCGGCGTCATTTTCTATGCAGCTCATATCGTATCAGAGGAGAGTCTGTTCGT